CCGAGAAGTCTTTCCTCCTACGACCTCAACTGCTCACCTTTCTACGCTTGGCCCTCCTGCGCTCTTCCTCATGATCCCTCCAATCATCGTCGCTATTCACATTTGCTATCTCCTCGTCGTCCGCATCCGTCTTGACTTCTCTGCGCTTGATCTTCCTTCCCCACTGTATGCCCTTCCTGTACCTGTCCGTGATCACGTCTAATTCCGGTCCCCCTTCGTGCCCTAGCCTCCTCTTTCCATCCGCATCGAGGACGGGCATCAAATGCGAACATTGTCCCCTCTCTCGCAGCGGCACGCGGCTGTCCGTCTGCTCCTTGCTCAATGTGACAGTGGCAGATGTTGAAGCTGATGGCATGTGCAGCCCATTGCGCTCCTCCGCAGCTCGAGGAGAGATGGGAGCGGAGTCTGTCAAGGTGCTCGATCGACTTCGGTCATCCGTCGTCCTTTCTACTCGTCGATCGGTCGCCGGTGCTTCGCGCACACCATTGCCCTCCAGCTCTTCCGTCTTGACCTGCTGTGTCGGCGCAGCTGCAACAGCATCGGCAAGGACCACATCTCTCGGATCGCTCTGCTCTTGATCAGCCGGAAATGTACCATTCTCCAGTCCCTTCGGAGACGTCTGAACAGGGTTGGGCACAGGCGAGTCGCCAGGGGGCGAGTCGACGTAGTCTACAAGGCCCATGGCCAGACGCTGCTTCTAGGATGTGCTGGCCGAGCGCTGGTCAGACGAGTGGCCTCGAGAGCCCTCAAAGAGGCGAGTTACAGACCTTCCAGAGTGGCGTTGCTCGACAGCGTCACAGGCCAAATCACGAATCACGAATTGAATAGAGAGGCGGTGTTTGGATGAGTGCGGGGAGGCGTGCATGATGTTTGCTGCACATCGCGCGAAGAAGCCCGAGCCAGCACCACCACCACACACGCTGCCCAGGCAGCAAGCTCGGAATTGTCGCGTGAATTGGCCGCCCTTGTAGCGCGCCGTGCGCACACACATCCCTTCTCGCACTTGTGACTGTCGCGGTACCAAACACGCGCACGACTATGATAACTGCTCGACGGTCCTTTCTGCATTCAAGAGCGTACATCTCAACTGAAAAGTCATGACGGTCTACAAAAGAGCAAACCGAGTTCAGTACGAACTAGTCTGGGGATTGAGTTACTGTAAATCTCATCTATTGGCGGCATCGTCGTCCACTTCGCCCAAAGCTTGGCGGTACAGATCAGGACCGACCACATCCACCATCGACTGCAGATGCTTTGCGAGCCACGCCCTGACGGTCTGTGTCTCTTTGCCAGCTACCCTGACGATAGCGCCTCGCAGTGGCGACCGCTTTCCAAGGTCAGACTGTTGAGGCTCGCAATGCAGCTCGCTCAGACTCCAGATCAGATCATCAGGCTGCTTGCTTGCTGGCAAGACGCCTTGCTCAATCTTTGCAAATGCCGCCTTGAGATGATGTATCGCCTGCTCGCAATCAGGCCCGACGAGCAAGAGTGTGACATAGGTGGTGTAAGGATGACACCTGACGGAGAGAGGCACTGTTGCGTCGTTGCGCGTGTTCGTGCCCAAGCGCTGATGCGCCGGGCCGCCGTTCATGGCATCCAGAAAGTGACGCAAGCCTGGCGCAGCGCCTCGTGTGGGTTGTCCACCTTGCGACAGTTGCGTCAGGCTGGACTGCTCCAGCAACATTACATCCCGTGCAAACAGCCGACCTGCTACGCGCAACTCGTTGCGACTTCTGTAAGAGTCAAAAGCCCACAATTCAGACCTCTTCGCTGGCAAGGATTCCACGTTGGGATTCGACGCCGAAGCTGTCCCATGCGCATTGGCAGTAGAGTGTGCAGAACCGGTAGCGAGGTAGACACGCCCAGGCGTGAACCAATCCAGCATCACCAGTGAGCTTGTGTCGGCGCAACGCAGGTCGAAACGCTGTACTTGTGTATAGCGCGCCCCAGCGAAACAAGTGACCGGATCCGGTAGAAGAACCAAGGTCGCGTTTGGTCTGACAAGATGCCGCATGACTTGCCGAGTCGAGGGCGGTGAGCCAGCATGCTGGCCATTCGATAACAAGGTGGACGCTTGTTCGATATTGGGTCGCCTTTGGACGCCAAGAGTGGCTGACCTCATCCGAAACACTTTGGTGCTACCTTGAGTTAGCATGATCAGCGCACAGCCTTGGCCGACATCCACATCGAGAAGCACTTCGTCACCGCTGACTAGCCCGCCCCCGTAGGAGACAACATACAGGGCAGCCACCGCCTTTGGTCGTGGGCTTTGCGCTGACTGCTTTGCGCTTCGAATTCGCTTTGCATGTACCCAACGTGAAGCATCTTGCGAGCTGACTCGGGGATGGAGCAGTTTGAGCGGAAAGGACGCGTACAAGCTGCTAAAAGTAGCGATGAAGCCTTGCGTGCCGATGCCGTGCTCTTTTCCGCCTGGTCCAGCTGGGATGTCAGTGATATCCTGGGGCTCAATAGCGCCTGTACTGTCACCGTGCTGCTCAGCCTCGTGTGCAAAGGCACCAGGTGCCGAATGAGCTCGCACTACGGCGAGGCCGGATCCGCGGAAGCTTTCTGCCCTCTGCGGAGGAGCAGACACCGCCACCATGGAGTGCGTAAGCTCCTGGTCGAGAGTGTATGCTCAGTCTATCCTTTGTGAGTCGCTTCTCGTTGACTGAAAACTCAAGAGCGCAGAGCGCAGAGTTGAACAGTCTCGAGAGCGCTTAGCCCGTGCGGCCAGTGACTCGGCAGCAGCGAGCGTGATCTGTAACGCTGCAGCAGGAGGTCGCTTGATAGTTTGCAATATACGGAACAGACAAGTGTTCACGGATCTCTTGTCCGTTTGTGGCTTCTCACACGGTCTGCGCCACCCCGGCCTTAGTGCTGGAGTCCAAGTTAGGATCCTTCTTTTCGGCGCAGACAGCCTGCTAGTCGCTTCGGCAGCTGGAGGAGCACGTGTGTGCCATGCATACGACGGGACCAATGACTATGTGGATGATGCGCAAAGTGTTTGCAGCGAGCGATGGAGAGAGCCCTTGCTTGTGTATTTTGCCCGGCTGGCTTGAGTGGCAGATAAGGAAGGGTCGGTGTTCACCTCATCGCGCCTTGGCCATGCATGTGTCACGATTTTGAAGGTGCTAGAATTACACGCGACCTTCCACTCTGACTGGCGCGCGTAGCAGGCGGGGGCCAACACCCTGATTGCGCTAGGAGTAGCCTGTATGGGATTGGGCCGAGCGGTGAAAAGGGACAAGCAGCACCAAGCTAGGTGTCGGCAGTGCGCCAGGAGCGCCAGTCGTAAAGGGGATCTAGACTCTCATTCCTGTGAATCGGGGAGGGCGAGCACTCACACTCACGACTCTGTGTGAGCTGCAATTTCTTCTTCTTGATTAAGCTGTGCTTGATGTCTACGCTGCTTAAACGCCGTGCACTACACAATTTTGAATCACGAGTTCGAATCTAAATTAATAATGTGCCTCCCACTCTGAACTCAAACTTTTCTTCCAAACCGCCCATCAGGCTCAAAGGCTTCATTTTGAATACCACACGAAATCTGAAACGTTATACACGCACCAGTGCAGCAGCGACGCAACATGCGCTGTCCGCCGACTTCAAACCCCGACACATACGAATACGCTAAAGTGGGCGCAGCCAATCGTGAATCGAGCAGTAGTTTGACCTTGGCGTCGCCGATGATGGCATCGCGGACCTTTCCCTCCTCGGATGCCAGCATCTTTCCCTCCGCGGCGGGTGTTCCCACTCAGACTGGGTTATTGCGTGCGGCGACCCAGCATATGCAGCTCCTTCGCAACCGTCGGCGTATGGGCGTAGGTTTCACAGGTACTGCTACGTCCCCTTTTCTTTCCCGCTCCCACGTATTTTCGTGACGCAGAAAGTATCTAGATCTTCTTGTGCTCGTCGCGAGTGTTCTTGAGCCTATTCAACATTATAGGCGCTCGCATACGCGACCTCGTGACTTGGCGGCAGGGGTGCATATATATATTCCTTCACACGAGGTCAAAGTTTTCATCCAACCTGAATGTCGCTGCTGACTCGAAACGTCCTCGCGTCCACAGGGGCTGAATGACGCATATGCATGCTCGAAGAGTCATCTGCGGAAGGGGGCTGATGAAAAGCAGTCAAATCGAGCTCGGCGTGCTTTGTACCTGCTGCTGAGTGCCGGTTCGTCTTTTTTTGCTTTCATGCGCCCGTCTCGCGCAGTTAGCCCTCCTGATGCGGCTGGACTTTCAACGTGGATATGTAGCGTATGATGAATGCTGGCTTCGAACCAAGCGGCCAAGGTGCTGGACAAAGGCGTCAAGAGGATGAGAAAAAGGGCATCTTTGCCGTGCATGGCGCTGCGGTGCTGTCACGAACTGCTGAGGGTAGGAAGGAGGGCAGTCGCTGCACTCTCCTAAACCCGTGCCAGGCACAGCTAAGAGCGCTTCGGGTGAAGATAGATGTGATGGCGCTAAGGCAGGTAGCTAAAGGAGTGCTAATGCAGATCACCATGCGGTTCGTTATCGCTAAAGGTCTCAGACGATGGCAGCAATGGCTGGACGCCGAGGAAGCAGCTCAGCGCGGTCATAGCTATGCTGCTTGTACTTAGCTGTGCTTGGATGCCCGATGGCCGCGCAGGACACCATGCCGCGAAAGACTTCATAAGCGTGTCGGCTCTGTCGCCATCGTCAATGCGTAGAGGCAACGCTCCAAGACGTCTCCCTCCCAATTGGCCCAGAGGGCTGTCCCCTGCGAAAGGTGTACCCTACCTTCTCACCCCATCCATCGCCACCACCTTCTGATCTCGCCGATATGAGGCTTGCCGACCTTTGTTGCGCTTTGCTGGTGGGCAGCGTTGGCTTCTTCCTCGCGCCCACGCATGCTTTACCAACAGGCAACAACACGTACGGTCTCGCTGAGCCGTCACGCAACCCAGACAATGGTCCGGACATTGAGCCAGCAGACATCAAATCGGGCGCCCACTATAGGGTGCTCGCGGAAAAGTTCATTGCATCTTTAATGTATCCCAACAATATCCACGCACACGACCTGAAATCCAGCCCTCTGTTCGAGCCAACTATGATTGGTCGAGTCGAGCAGACGACGACGTTTGCTGGTGATGAGCTCAACGTCGAATACCTCTACTACTTGTTCCAAGATATTGCAGCCAATGCTCAGAGCAATGGACCACCTCGGGCCATGGGATATCCGTACGAGTACAACATCACCCAAGTCGCTGTGGAGAACAACGTCGTCGTTGCCAACGCGGTCACGCAGTGGAATTGGGGACGCGGCTTCAACGATACTCAAGACTTTGTGCTGCCCATAGAGCTGACCGCTTGGATATGGTACAGCAAGAATGACAAAATCCAACAGTACGACCTGAGCTTCAAGCGAGCAGATGTGAGTACAGCCGTCATGCTTCCTGGTGACCGTGCCGCGCCCCTTGGCTAACGATGGAAACAATCTCCCTCTTCTTGCTCCGCCACAATCATGCAGTGGGTGTTCGACATCGCCGCGGACTGGCTCTTGCCTCAGATCGCACATCGTGAGGGATGGAGCGTCAACACGACAACTGTTCGTGACGTTGAGATTCGGCGATACACCGCGGACTACGTCTGCAAGGCAGCGCTAGCCAATTGCCACGGTAAAGACGAACACTACGAATCATATGATGACTGCATGAGCGTTCTCAACGGGAACGATCCCAATGATCAGGTGCCTCTCGGTACTCCAAGCCTCGCGGGCGAGAACACCTTATGGTGCCGGTGAGTAGACTGCAAAAAGTTGGACTGCGAGTGTGCTGGCGCTGATGTGATGGTCACGATCCTCCCCAGCTTTGTTCACACCCCCATGTTGCCCATCCGCCCTGCCGAGCACTGCCCACATGTCGCACGGTCAGGCGGCACCATGTGCATCGATCGTGACTACAGGAATGTGACCAACGAAAATATCTACCCCAAAACGATGAAGGCGCCGCTCGTCGCCTTGCCGTCTAGCAAGAGCCTCGAGAGCACCTCTCCAGAGACGATTAGGGAGCTCGACTTTGTTTCCAGCGATAAGATCCGTCCAGAGACGCCGTATTGGTTCTCCGTCAACGGTCTAGTCCTCTTCGCTATTTTCTGGATCCTTGCTCTCGTGATCGACATGGTGCTGCGCATCCTACCCATGACGCGCAAACGTTTTACGTCACTGTCATGGGCCAACCAGCGCACCACGGTCGTCTACGTCCTCAACATCTTCTTTACCACTGCCGCTCTCGCTTTGCAGCTTGCTGCATCGCCAAGCTTCAGCGGCAACTTCAAATCTTTCCACTTTGAAGTCGGACGTGCAGCAGTGCTCATCATTTCTGAGCTGTACTTATTTGAGCTCATCTACCGTGCCAAAATGCGACCGCCAATGATTGCTCATCACATCCTCACCGTGTTTGCAATCTGTAAGTCGGACCTGCGTGCCTTGTACCTCCAAGGCTTCGTTGACTTTTCTTCTTGCTCCAACAGCCTTCACCATCATCCTTGTGGACCGTCGGCATGATCCTGCGTATCTGTGCTGCGGCTTAGCTTGGCTCTTCCAGGCGACGACGGAGCAGACCACATTCATCGGGCTCTTCATGTACCGCATGTGTCCTTCGCGACCCAGGATGGTCCGGCATTGGCTCCACTTTGCAGCTATCCAAGGCTTGATCGCAAAGCTTGCCGCCACTGGTCTTGTAAGTGCTGGCCATGACATTGATCGGAGTCTGCAGCCGCTAACGTCTTCCATCTCTCCCACTGCCACAGACTCTGTGGGTATGGGCGAAGTGGCAACGTTTCGACTCGACTGCAATTGGCCGAGCATACACCGTCATCTTGTGGATCGCCATGGTCGCTCTACTCGCAACACAGGTCTGGGGCGCCATGGTGACCTTCAGTATCGGGTCCACAGTCGAGAAGCGCTTCAAGCGGCAAGCGGAAGGAAGGGACTCTCGACGCAAGACGGTCGCGCCACCGGCTCTGTTAACCTCTGGAGCAGGCTCGACTGACTCGTTGGAGAAGGGACGCATCGAGTTGAGGGACACGAGCACTGCCGCTTCTTTGCTTCAAAGCAGAAGAGGAAGTGACCAAGACGCCTCTGTGTCTGGCGAAGCGGACGTCACTCCCATCGCACACCTTGAGAGCGCAGCAGCGGCGACTGGCCGCAGTAGTACAGATGCCAGATCAGACTCACCGGCAGACGTCGACCCTCAGGTGGCGGCTAAACCTACATAGTCGTCGAAACGTTTCCTCTCGTGCTCGCTTCCTCATCATTCATATTCTGTTTAGCAATCCCTTAGACGAAGTGATCAACAATGTCCTTCTTGTTGCCAATGCATCCTTTTAGATGAGAAGTTTCCGCGTTAGCGACTGATGAAATCGATTTCTCCCAAGGTGCCTGAGGACAAAAAAGATGCTCACGGCCCAGCGCTGGGACTCTCAGTCTATTGCGGCTTTCACGATGTGCATTGAGCTAATTAGCCCCGCCTCACACGTCTTAGCGCTTGTGGAACCCCCGCCTTTCTGCACAAATGTATCGGAGCCATTTTCGGCTGTGCAGCAACGCCCGCAGGAACCTCTCGTGAACCTGCTGGTGTCGCGTGTAGGGTTTCAATTGTTCTGGAAGAGGGGCAAGACGGTGTGAAAGGTCGCCCACCGTCACTACACTGCACGCGCGCATGTACCGTTCAAAGCTCCGCAAACGCATGCGTTGACGATTTGGGAGAAGACGTAACCGATCCGGCGGTGCTGTGTCAGCTTCAACACCAATTCAAGATTGCCTTGCCTCAAATGAAGCGGTTTGAGTGCAAATGAGTGATAGAGGGGCTCGCCGCTGGCGTAAGCCTGGCTGGCTGGCTGGCTTGCCAGCCGATGGCTGAACAGTTCATCTGCTGACAGCGGTTCTCACCACAGTCGGGAGATCCTTGGTGTACTGTACTGCAGCAGCTTTCGCGTGATTGGACGCCGATCGCAAAGCTTCCGCTAGAGCACATGCGCCCAAATGTAAGGTGCGCTCAATGACTGTGAGGGGACCATGGGCATAACGTGCATGCAGCAAAGCAGGCGAGAAGCACAAGGTGACGAGATGCGAACAAGAGCTTTTCTGCTGCTGCTGCTCCTGCTGCTCCTGCCGCTGCTCTGTGTTTCCTTTCCTGCAGCGCAGCGAGTTGGTGCGCGAATTGGTGATGAGCCATTTCTGCACGGCGGCACGCTGCTCAGGCTGGTCGTCCAGTCGACTGGCCGATGGGCGCGTCACGTCCTTCGCTCGATCGCGTCTGCATCTGGCGCTGATGCTGGCCAGGCGCGGCTCTGCCAAAGGCAGGAGGAGTACCAACCACCCTGTAAAGCTGATGGCCCCACCCAATCCAACGTGCAGCCTTCTGGCTGCATGGGCTGCAAGGCGTAGACTCTGCCTCGACCTACAACGGCTGGCTCTTCCCGCAGTAGGAACACAACGTCGCTTGGAAGGGCAGCATATCAATCACGAATGGCGCCCGCGCGTCCGAGGCCCATTCACGAGCCAGTGTGAGGGTCTCTTGCACGATCACAGAGAGGTGCGCGTCAAAGTGAGCACAGAGCGCCGCCTTGATACATCGAATGCCTGATGGAAAGTGATTCTGACTGCACGAGTGAACTCGCCGAATTCAATTCGCGTTCGCTCCTGAAAGGCTCATTTCGCAGTCCGGTCGGTGATGAGGTGCAGTCGCAATGACAGACGCGTGGTGCGGGTGCTGTACCGAGTGTAGCACAGCACCAGTGTCGTCGCACACGACGCGACATCTGGACGATGACGAGAGAACAAAGCTTGCTTCTCACTACCTGCGCTCATGCAGACAGTGACACTGTCAAGGTGCTGCGATGACGAGTCCACAGACATTTAGCGTGTTCTAGCCTCAGACTCCGCGCAATGGTGCATGAGTTTGTCGTCATCAGCCGCTGGAGCAGTGGTGCGAGAGAAGAAGCCAAGCCTCGAGATCGGCTTAGTCCGCAGCTTTGGCCCCTCACTCATCGCAGCACGCCCACGACCGAACTTTTTCTTCACCCGCAGCGTCTCACTTTTGACACGCCGCCGTCTGGGGCCCTCCGGGTGTTTGACCGCGACTGCCCAGGCTCTTCTTCACACCCGCAGGCGGTCCGCTCGAGGCACGTCGCTCTCTTCTCTCTGCGCCTTTCCCCGCAATTTCCTGCGCTTGTTGGGCAACCCTGCTTTCCTCCCCTCCTTCGTTTGCTCGGCTCCCTCTCTCCTCACGCGCCTCGATCGCATCCCCCACCCCTCCTTCCCCCGCTTTGCCCCCTTCATCCGCCGGGACTTCGTGGCCTCGCCTGCACCCCATCCATTGTGTGAGCAGGTGTGCTGCTGCGCCGATCTCTCACTGTCTTTCAACTTTCCCTTCCGGTCTCATCTCTCCCTCTCACCTACTCTCCGTCACCGCTACCCCTCCTCCCCTCCCTCCTCGCCGCCGTCGCCGTTTGATCCAGAGGTCCTTGTGTGGATTTGGATCATATCATATCACCCTGCTCACCAACCGACGTGCGGCGCAACCCTCACCCTCCTCCCTACTCCCCTTCTATCTTTCGCCACCCTCACAGGACTCACCACCACGAAGGAGGACTTATCGACAGACCTTCGATCCATTAGCTCCTTCGTCCTGACCATTCGCACATCCATTATCTCATCGTCGATCGCAACCATTCATCAAAATGGGTCTCCCTGAACGCAGGTCGGCCACTGTGGCCGCTCCACCTCGCAGCGGTGGTGCGCCAGCGATAAACCCCAACCTCATTCTTGCTTTGAGGTTTCTCTTGACCTCCCTCGTGTGCGGTCTTGCACTGGCGACGGCCATCATGGCCATCCTGGTCGTGCAGTACTACAACATGAACGACCCCATCATCAGACCGTCATGGGGATCGCTCATCTTCCTGATTGTCCTCGGCTTTTTCACTTGCATCATCTACTTTGGATACAACATTCTGCTCCCCATCGCACCCTTCATCAACTACGGCGACTTCCTCTACTCTCTGTTTCAGGTCAAGCTTGAGCTTTTGCTTCAGTTCACTTTCTGCGTTCTGTGGGTGTCGGGCGCGATTGCTTACGCTGCCGACCTCCGCGGTTACGAAAACTGCCAGTTCGACGGTTATTTGCATTACCCGAAGCCAGCCGACTTCGAGCACGTTTGCGATCTCACGAACTGGACCGTCCCCTTGGCCTACGCCACTTTCGGCGTGCAGACCTTGCTCTTCGTCGTCGAAGCTCTGTTCGGCCTCTACACCTTCCTCTACCTCGACCAAGAGAGTCTCAACGAGCCGCACTTCGCTTGGGGTCGTCGTGCATACGACTACAGAACTGGGGCGGCATCTAGCGGAGCAGCAAGTCGTGGCAATGCTTACAGAGCCAGAGCAGTGCCCGCCGATGCCGAGACTGATGGTCGTCAATCATCTTCGGAGGGACACCGATCCGGTCGCCGTGGCGCCGCATACAACGATCCAGAGAGAGGATCAGAGGAGATGGCAGAAGACAGATCGGAAGCCAGGCCAGCTTCCTTGGGTGCTCGTGGTCGTCGCGGCTACGACGAAGAGGAAGCGGACGAAGCAGATCACACTGCGGAGGAACGCGGCGACGATGACGGTTGGCATTTGCGCCAGGAGAACGGTAGTCACCGTGCTTAAATGCCGAACTCCAACCGTCGTGAGATCCGCGTCTAAGTCTTTTGTCTCCTACTACAACATACCACAGCACCCATGCAATCGCGCGCTACTCGTGTAGGATCGCCGCGCAGCCACTCTTGCTCAACTTGATGCACCAGCGCATCGAAACGACGCTCCATGTTTTCTTTCTCTTCACACAGACTCGTCCTTCGTCACCTCGCCTTTCGTTCTTCACTCCGGCGCGCGACACTGAGCGCGGGCTTCCCCCAAAGCACAGCCAGGAAGACTTCGGCAAATATATCCTGGCCGCCCTTGCCATCTCTGTCTTTACCTGACCCTCCAATCACCACCCTGTCTCCGCTCTCGCCCTTTGCAATAGCTGCACTTGCGGCTCTTGTACTAATGGTGCTGGGCGTCGAGCTTGTTTCTCCCATATTTTACCGACTCGCGCACAGACGCAGCTTCCCGCTGTGTCTTGACTGGGTACGACGCTCTTTCACGGATGCAATCCCTCAATCCAATTGCAGGCCGAATGGCCTTGCGAATTGACGTAGGTGACGTCGTCGACTCTGTCTACCAATTTCCCGTTTTGATTACCCTATGCTCCCTCCCTTTTGTCCTCTCTATACTCCTTGGCTTTGCTGTCTTTCTCGGCTCATTTACCACTAGGCTCATTGGATGAAGTATCAATGCACGCATGTTGAACCAGTTGGAGCCAGTCTGCTCGCTCATCGATCTGAGATACCTCTTGCGGCTGTTGTGACGCTACGCAACTCTGCAGCCATCAGCGTGTAGGCTTCTTTCGCGCCGAGCTTGTTGACATGCCAACGGGACGTGGTTGCTTGGTGTGTGAGCTGCCTAGCACCCAGAGACAGATTCTTGAACCACCCAGCCGACACGACCGGGAAGAAGTGAGACACGCGGACACTCACACGTGCAATGGCTGATGATCACACGATACAATCATGCATGCCACGAGACCGGCGGTGGGCGACTGCTACATCCATCGCACCTGTGGCTGGCTCCCTACCGATACTTTCGCACATCGGAGTGGCTTATTGATGAGTGTGCGACGGCCTCTCAAGCGTATTTATATCAGTCTGCAGTGGACGCTCTACCTGGCGCCCTGAACTCAAGACTTGTGGTACAGCAGTCGTGGGTCCAGGTGAGTCATGAGCGTGACCGCTTTCACGTCGTCCGCGCGTTCTGCCAAGAGAGTCCCATATGAGGGGGGTCCTTGATGGGTGCAAAGGTAATCTGCCAGACGTAGTCGAGAACATTCTGGAACAAACTTATGCGGCACAATTCTTGCCGCCGCATGCTACTACTGTATGAGCGCGCGCCCCATGCAAATGACGCGAATGACCCCGCACCGCGGCGGTCTGCTGTCGCGACGCGCGCCGCTCAAGTGCAAACATGCAGGATGCTAAAAAAGCGCTGCTGCTGCTTGAAGACTTTGTATAAATGTTCTGCATGTCGCCTCAGGTGCGTGCGTGTGAGGATGAGCTTGCTGGTGGAGTTGTGACTTTCCGCTGGCCTGTGGCCTGCATGATGTGCGTCGATGTTGGCCACACAAAATCTTCACACTGCAGCATGCATCGTCCATGCAAGCAATTCACGAACACGAAGCAAGCAAATGCATTGCACTGCACTGCTCTGCACTGCACTGCACTGCAGAAGGCCTCGAGAACAGCTCGATCGCCATTCCTTCTCCCACACGAGCGCAGCCAGCCCTTGTGGTGAGTGAAATGGTGAACGATGAGTCTTGAGCTGTATACATACCTACCTACATTGTATTTGGGCGGCGCTGGCGCATGTGCGTGCAATTTCACCTAGTCACGAGGGATAAGTGCGTGCGGCGGCTCAGCTCCAAGGTAAAATATCGTCCGATGACTTGACTCAGACTCACCGTGGATTGCTTTGAACCATACAAGGCAGGCAGCAAGCAGCATGCAGACACGAAGCTTCATGCTGCTGCTGCTGCTGCTGCTGCTGCTGCACTCAGACTCGTGGCCAGGCATTCTGCGCATGCTATAGCCGACCGCGACCTACGCTGACCAGCGTCGCTGTACCGCGCGCGCAGGCAACGCATCGCGCTGCGTTTGCAACTGCGCTGCCGCACATCGCACGCGAGCGTGCTGCGCGACCTTCGCAAATTTGGCGCAGGCTCGCTGGCGCTGCTGCATGGCCAGCGGGTGAGCTGTGCGCTGGCGTGAGCTGACCACTTGTTCCTCTTCTTCATCACATCTACATCCACACAATCCAGACTTGAAAGAATACGCTTCGTCGTCGTCTTTCCTGCCTCCCGTTCCCGGCTCGCGTTCAACGATCTCGTTGTGCTTTCCGTTGCGTACCTGACTCGTCTTCTCGTGTGCCCGTTCCGACGAAGTTCGAGTTCATCCAACCAATTGTAGTCAAGCAGTACAGTCCGGCTTCCGTCCGATACTCTAAGCTCAGTCAGTCAGCCAGTCGTACCGATTCTCGACTTTCTTGCTCTCATACTTTCTTCATCCGGTCTCCCACTCCTCGGCTCGATTCGACCCGCTTCGCTTCGGTCGTTCTCCTGCTTCTCAACAGTAACAGTAACTCTAGCGTTTGGTCTAGCGTTTTCCAGCTTCCCGACTCGTACATTTCTCGCACCTCGTCAATCTTTTCAAGATGGCTACCAAGGTTTACGTTGGCAACCTCTCGTGGAACACCACGGAGGACAGCCTCAGCCGTGCTTTCTCTGCTCACGGACAGCTGACCGATTACGTGAGTCTGGGCATGTACTTGAGCAGTGCAATTGGCGATATGTCAGCCTCTCATTTGCCTCTGGGTCTCAGGATCAAAGCTGAACGACGAAAGCACGGCGTGCCTCATGCTTTCGAATCCTTCCACCACGATCTGACTCCTGCGTTCGCTTCTTCCCGATTTCGTCTCCCGATCCGTTCCTACATCTTCTGCAGGTCGTCATGCGTGACCGTGACACTGGCCGCTCTCGCGGTTTTGGATTCGTGACCTTCTCGTCTCAACACGAGGCCGATTCTGCCATCGCTGCTCTTAACGAGACTGAGCTCGATGGTCGTCGCATTCGTGTCAACATGGCCAACTCTCGTCCAGCTGGGTAAGTTGGAGCAGCTCGGCGCTCAGTCTCGCCATCAACTCTTGTCGATCACAGGACAACATGAATCTACAACATGACCCGAATCTGGTGTTGACGTGGTCTTCTCTTTTTCCCGTTTCGATATGTAGTGGCTTCCCCGGTGGCCAAGCTGGTGGTGCCGGTGGCTATGGTGGGTACGGCAGTGGCTATGGTGGCGGAGCCCCCGGGTTCGCTGGTGGGTATCATAATCTCATAGAGATTATGCACCACCAAGTGTGCTGACCTGATCCTTGCATCCCTCTACGCCTAGGCGGTGCAGGTGGCTACGGTCAGCAAGGCTACGGACAGCAGGGCTACGGTCAACAAGGCTACGGACAGCCCCAGCAGGGCTACGGACAAGGCTTCGGTGCTCCTCAGCAAGGCTTTGGCGGTGCCGCTACTGGCTTCGCTGGTGCTCAACAGGGCTTCGGCGGTGGACAGCAAGGCTTCGGTGGTGCCCAGCAGGGCTACGGCGCTCCCCAGGGCGGCTACGGCGGTGCACCCCAGGGTTACGGCGGGTGAGTTGACGCCCTTGACTCGAAGTCGCTGCCACGAATCGATCCTCAACAGGTCTACTTTCTTGGCCGCTCTCGCCTACAGCCCTCAGTAAGCGGCACGCTTATTGCACTATAAGTCGTCTTGAGGTCTAATCGTTCTCGAGTCTCTTGCCAGTAATGATCACGAATGAATCAGCACACGCTCATCTCCTCGTCTTGAGCGAAGCCGACACATTTACCCTACTGTCGCCAAAGAGACCCTGCAACAGACCTAGTCCCACTACCTCGTCAACACACACGTGCGATGTTGTTCGTGAAGTCATCAATAAGCCCTTCTTTTCCTGAAGCCTCTTGCCCTCACTTTTTCCGCTCGCACCTGGTGCCCCATTTTCACCCCAAAAAAACTCGTCCCACTGTCCCCCACCCCACCGCCTCAACCCAACTCGAAATTCCCATTCAATCACCCGACCACCCTTTTACAATCACGCCCAATTAAAATGGAGTTTTGAGCTCACACGATACCTCGCAGCGCGTTGCGGCCCTTAAGTCAGCGAAGTCCAGCATATACGATGATGGCATCTTTCCTAGCGCGACGATGGCACACGGGGGAGGCATCCAGATTCACTGTGCTGGGAACAGCCTGATAGCTAAAGCCTGCTTAGTGGACAGAGTTGGGAAGAGGTGGGACTGGCGGGATGGTGCGCGAAGGTCCTCCACTGCTTCCATCACCTCCTTCCTCCTCCTCCTCCTCCTCCTCGTCTTCTTGGGCTGCCAGAGCAGCTGCGAGCTTCATACTGAGAATTGGTGTGACAGAGACTGGCACAGCATCAGCAGATGTATCTACCAAAAAGCGCATTTGGTGCTCGATTGTCAACTATCGGCAGTCGACTCACGCCTGAGCCTCGTTGCCGTAGTGTTGGTGGCGTTTCTGAGCAAAGGCCGCACGATTGGCTTTTTCTGTGAAGGGCACGGGCGGCAGTCGCGACATCAGGATGCTGAAGTGGTATTTTGATTGGCAGCAAAGCTGCCGTCGTCGCTTACCCTCTGGGTCCAAATCTTCGTCATCCTCGTCATCGAGAGTCTCGTCGGGTCGGGTGTCCATGTCGTCGACGCCCCTGCCGCGCGCCTCGTCCCTCACGGCGCCACGATCGTTGTTTCTAGCACTGGACGAGCTGCTCCTTCTACTGCTGGGCGGCAAGCTGAAGCTGGGGCTCCTGCTAGTGGCTCTGCCAGCAGGCGATGGGTTCTCTCCGGTCGAGAGGACAGACTCTGCACCTGATCCTCGCCTGGTTGAGAGCGTCGAAACATCTGCTGCATCCAGACCTACTGCTAGGCCTGCGCTGCCAGCTCTGCCTCCCGGGCCTGCATTGGCTGATGTGTTGGCTGCCAACAGATCGGCGGCTGAGGTCCCTTCTGGCAGGCTGTTCTGACCACCGCTGCTCGAGCTGCTATCTCCCCCGCCGCTGCCTTCGAAGTAGTTGTGCTCATTGTCCAGATCGAGGGCTGAGCAATCGCAAATCATTTGTCGAATCAGTAGACTACTGCGCTGAAAGCTGGCTGAACAGGACATTCTGACTCACCGTCGACGCTTCCCAAGCTCGCACTTCTGACGAAAGGTGTCTTGGGCTCATCGATCTTCATACGAGCTGCCGTATTCTCCCTCTCGATCTCGTGAAGCGTGAGGTTGGTCTCATCCCAAGCCAACCTGAGCCATCAAGCACCGAAGTCAGTCCAACTCGGCACTGCAGCGAGACGAAAGCGGAAGCAGCACAAGAAGGATGACCAGCTGGGCATGCTCACCTATTTCCATGCTCATCGACTGGGGGGCTCTGAGCACCTTGAGGTGCAACGGCGCTTGCTTGACGCTCAAGGCCGCTTGCACTGGCGTTTTTGAGAATTCCCTTTGGCCTCGGCGCCGCTGCAGATGGAGGAGGCGAGTGGCGAGGAGAGGAGCTGGACATGATGGATGATCGCAGCAAGCGCGGCGAGTGTACAGTCGCAAAGGATCGAATGTTTAGCGTCACCGGGTGGATCGTGGATTCAAGATCTGATTAGCGAACAGGAGGCGGGTGTATGTTTGTGAGGGTGGGCGTATGTTCTTGACGTTGAGCCTGTTTGCATCGGCTGCTTCAAGGAACGTCCGATCCAGCGATGCGTGAATGGCGATAGAGGAAGTCGTGAGTGATGTGAATATCAGCTAGGCAGGTGATCCGAGCACTGATTCCATGCGTACCTACTTGTGGGGGGGGG